AGTGTGCTTCCGGCCGTGGGCACCAGAGGGCAGTGAGACCCAGCGGTTGCAGTCCTGGTGCCCGGGCGGCGGGCGGGGTTCCACTTTCCCAGCACAGCCCCGGGAGGGCCTGGTGGGGGAGCCCAAAGCTTGGCCGGGGGGCTGGCGGCTGGAATCCCGATCCCCAGGGCCAGCGGGGCAGGGCCTGTGTGTGCCACAGGCCACAGCAGTGCCTGGCCTGGGCCCACCCTGCCCCATTGCTCAGCCCCACAGGCCCAGTCCCTGGCCAGCCGCGTCTGCAGTGCCCGTGGGCCCCGCCTGGGAGCCAGCCAGGGAGCAGCCTTGTTAGTCTCGCTCTGAGTGGTCTCAGTGCTGCCCAATGGGCCTGCCCAGCACCCCGGGCCGCCCAACTCCCACTCCCAGGGCTGTGCCACAGCCCCCTGGGTTGGATTCTAAACTGCAGCACCCTGGGCTCTGCCACTCCCCCCCCCCCCGCTAACGCCTCCCACTGCTGCCCTGGAGCCCACAGGATTTTCCAGGCCTGGGCCCCACACAACTTTCCAAGCACCCCGGGGCCCTCTCTCCTGCCTTTCCTCTCTCGCTCACAGCCAGCCTTGGGCCAGGCCTCTCCTGGGACCTGCAGCCAGGGCAAGCAGCCACTTGTAGTACAAGCTCAGACTTCACTCAGTAACCCATGGAACTCCTCGCCAGGGGATGTACTACAGGCCCAGACTTCACTCAGTAACCCGTGGAACTCCTCGCCAGGGGATGTACTACAGGCCCAGACTTCACTCAGTAACCCGTGGAACTCCTCGCCAGGGGATGTACTACAGGCCCAGACTTCACTCAGTAACCCGTGGAACTCCTCGCCAGGGGATGTACTACAGGCCCAGACTTCACTCAGTAACCCGTGGAACTCCTCGCCAGGGGATGTACTACAGGCCAAAACTATCCTAGGGTTCAAAAGAGAACTTGCTAAGTTTCCAGAGGAAGGTCCATCAATGGCTGTTAGCTGGGGGGGTCAGGGATGCGACCCCATGTGCTGGGTGCTCCTCAGCGCTGACTGCCAGGAGCTGGGACTGGCCGTACTGCAGGATTCCCTGCCCTGTTCACTCCTTCTGGGCACCTGGCATTGGCCGCTGTGGGAAGGCCGGATCCTGGGCCAGATGGCCCACTGCTCTGACCCGAGCCAGTCGCTCTTGTGTTCCACCAGCCTCCCTGCAAGCCAGGAAGGGGCAGGGGGCAGGGGCTTTGCTCCCCCGGGAGGTGGACACGACGCAGCCCCTGGAGGCTGCACTGCGGGAGCCGGCTAAGAAAGGAGGGGAGGGGGTGGAGAGCTGGGTGACTGGCGGGGCTGCGGGAACACCTGGGACGCACCTGGCCCACGCTGGGGCAGACCAGAGCCCGGAAGCGGAGCTGCCTGCTGGAGCCAGCAAGGGGCTGAGGGCTCAGGCCGGCTCTGTGGAGGCAGCTCCGAGGCGGCGAGGAGCAGCTGGGAGGCGGGTGCAGCCCGGCCCATGCGTTGCCCTGACTCCATTTCTCTGCCCGGTGGGGGGGCCAGGTTTCGCAAAGGCAGGGATAGCCGGGAGGGTCAAAGCCTCCCCTCACAGGCCAGCCCC